AAACCCACTCTCCCCATGCTTCACTAAGGTTAACATTAAAGAGCATGGGATCCTAGTGAGACCTAGGAACAATCAATTCTAATTAGTCAACACAGTATTGCAGTGTGTGTGTATTATTACAGAGAGTTTCATGCATCTATATAATGGTTAGCATTCATTATAATCACGTTTGTCAGTGTAAGCAAATTTGATAATTTGGTGGACTAAGAAAAAATAGAATTTGTGTTTAGGTAAGCACTGATGCTTCAAAATCACAGCAAATGTTTCGTGAATAACAATATAGTATAACAGACTCAATCAGGTGTATTTAATGCCACGAAAGTGGGATTGAGAGGTAATATGATCAGCCTATTTGTTGCAAGACTAGAACTCAAATATGTATGCTGGGGTTACCAGCCTTTTTATCAGAACTGTGCATTTCTTAGGGAGAAAAATACCTGCTAATAGTGTACCAGGTGTTCTATAGAAAACATAAATGGTGTTTATTTTCCCCCCTGAAAGCTCGATGATCACTGCTTTCAAGTTTACAGAAACTCCCCAGAATATTAGAGACCTTTAATATTTGCTTCCTGTAATTCTAGGTCGCACCAGCAATATGCATAGTTTTGTTGCACTCTGCTCAGATTTCACAAAAGCTAGTGGGAAAAAACTGGGACTTTGTGTCTGTATAAGGCATATAAGATTGAAGGGATTTTCCCACCTGAAAGGCAGAATAATGAAGCTGAAATTGCTGAGCAGTGGTACTGGGAAATACCAGTGTACCGTAACCAGATGAGAGCCCTTTCAGTCACTTCAGCTTTGTGTTGAAAGCAGGATCACAGATGGGAGCATCAGGGGCTGGTAAATTAATCTGATATGCCACTTAACCTTTTGTTTATGGTTTTCTCACAAGTGCTGTAAAAATGAAATTATGAGGACATCAGTAGTAATTAATCAAATTAGCAAATGCCTCTACCATAAATGCTGCCTTTAAATCTGAGATCACATAGCTAAATATTAAATACAGGGCAGTCGATTTTCATGTCTCACACGTATGTCTCCCCCCTCCCCTATTTTTTAAAAAAAGAGTTACTACAATTCATCATTTCTTTTTATGCTTGATGGAAATAAAAATAGAATATAGCAGAGTGCATGGCATATTTTATTATCATAAATATTAAAATAAGCCTGAAGAAAAACTAAGCACAAAATCCCAGACATTTATAAATTGTTTAATATAGACACTATACAAACAAAACAGACAAATATTGATCAAGCAGTACCGAACTCAGTTTGTATTCATGCAGTTTCTTAAGCTATTTTTTAAATATAATTAGTGAATAGCTTGATAGGGAAGGGAGGGCAAGATATGATCTTATAATGCTGACAGATAATGAATTCTCAGGGGTTTTTTGGGGGGGGGGGGTTGTGGATAAATTACACTTGTGATGGAGGGAAGAATGTTACAGATTCAGCACTGTACTGAAGGAAAGCATCATTAGTGCTGGAACTGTATATGACTTGCGTGGGGGGATTCATTCAAGAGCAACAGATATTGAATATTTCAAAGATTCCCATGTAACACATTGCCTTCCTTAATGGTTATTTTAAACCCAGAAGTGCAGAGAGCGTAACATAATTGGTTTCTTCACAGTTTTAATGTACCCTTTATACCACTATAGCCCAATGAAATGAACAATCATGAAACTTACGTAATGTACACCGTGTTAATTGTTTTAATTTTGGGACACCTTTAACATGAACAGCAATGCGCTTAGGAACCTTCTGAGACTGTCCTTATAGCCTTTGAAAAGAAATTACATTGGTTACCAACAACAAAAGAGTCAGAGAGCAACCATAAAGGTAACAAACTGAGTAAAGGATTGAGGTTAATGCAGATGCAAGGCATTGTTATAGCTGTACACAAAATGACTGCAATCAGCAAAGTATTTTTAGGAGCCCAATCAATAACTCTATCAATTCTTTTAGTGTAGACAATGTCCATTACTGTGGAGTGTGTCCACTGTCTTTATATAATGATATATGAAGTACATTTAATGCTAAAGGCAGTAACACAATAGAGTTCATGGTACTTTACGGTTGAAAATGTGGTGGGGGCAGGGCAATTCATAGGCGCAGTGGCATAAAATGTTATATAAATTCAGTATATGCTATTTAAATATATCTTGAATGGGATTTGGGTAATAATTTAAACAGCCAAATTTAATAAAATGCTAGTGTCAATTCCCTTCAGCTCATGCTATAATAATCCTTCAAATAAACCTTTCTTTTTCTTTACTATTTGAAGCATCAGTAATGATCTCAGAACAAGGTAGTTCCTAGGGATGAATATTTCTGCTGTTAATAGTCTGAGGCAATCAACTCCTCCCAGATGCTCATTAATCCTTAGGAAATGTACTGTTTGATAGTTATTGCTTAAGGAGTGGTCAAGATGGATTATTTCAATAAACAGGGCAATATTTTCTGAAGCAATGAATTCAAAGCAAGCCTGCTTATTTTATTATAATAATAATATTATATGTACATCAGCTTAAATTAGAACATTTGTTAAGCAATTGCAAATCTTTTAAGCCTTTTTGAACCTTGCTATGTGATGCAGAAGAAGGTTTCTCCTGCTTCTGTGATTTCTAAGCTCCATAATACCCTATAAGATCTAGCATGGTAAAATGTGTTATCCATTGTTAACATTTCTGTATTAACGTGGGATCATATCACATGAAAATTTAATTTGAAAACCTATCATTTATACTTTTGAGAGGCATTTTTGACTTATTGTACTTTCTCTATTCCAGAAAGATTTAAAAAATCCTGCAGTTGTATGCTAGATCATGAATTATTTCTTGGTTCAGGTTTGCAAAACCACCAAATCACTGACAGCTATGTATAACTGTGCTAGAATAAGAACAGGCAACAAAGCAGATTGTAATAATATAACTTAAATACAATAAAAAGCTTAAGTATTTTACCACCGAGACCAAACTACATATAAAATATCTATAGCGTTGTATTTTATTAAACAAAATTATATGCAATTCTAGTTTGAGTACATGCTAGAAATCAAGTTTGTAATTGGCTCCAAAGGATTAGTTTGCTAATTATATTAAATTCAATGTATGTATGTATGTAGATAAAGGTTTTCCCCTGACATTAAATCCAGTCGTGTCCTACTCTGGGGTGCGGTGCTCATCTCCATTTCTAAGCCGAAGAGCCGGCATTGTCCGTAGACACCTCCAAGGTCATGTGGCTGGCATGACTGCATGGAGTGCTGTTACCTTCCCGCCGGAGCGGTACCTATTGATCTACTCACATTTGCATGTTTTTGAACTGCTAGGTTGGCAAAAACTGGGGCTGACAGCGGAAGCTCACGCCGCTCCCCAGATTCGAACCTGCGACCTTTCGGTCAATAAGCTCAGCAGCTCAGTGCTTTAACCCACTGCACCACTGGGGGCTCCCTAAATTCAATGTAGCAAACTTTAAATAAAATCTTAAACTGTATGACTTCCAAAGCATAGTGTATGACAAAGAATTCAGGATTTTAATGTAATAATCATAGATTAATATTTGTAATTTCTATTTATTTTCAATTTTAATTTAATGAATAATTCAGTAAGCTGTAGTTATTTTAGGCCTTGATGACATGGTGCTATTCTGCTTCATACATTTATTTAAATTCCATTTGATGTGCGTTAGGTTGTAAAGTTTGTTGATTAAAAGTGAAGGGCATCAAGGGACTATTTTATCATATACTTACCTGTTTTTCACACTATAAAAAGGTAAATGTTTCCCCTTGACATTCAGTCTAGTCATGTCCGACTCTGGGGGCTGGTGCTCATCTCCATTTCTAAGCCGAAGAGCTGGCATTGTCTGTAGATGCCTTCAAGGTCATGTGGCTGGTATGACTGCATGGAGCACTGTTACCTTCCCACTGTAGCAGTACCTATCGATCTATTCACATTTACATGCTTTTGAACTGCTAGGTTGGCAGAAGCTGGGGCTAACAGCGGGAGCTCACCCTGCTCCACAGATTCAAACCACCAACCTTTCGGTCGGCAAGTTCAGCAGCTCAGCGGTTTAACCCACTGCACCACCATATTCTTTTACTTAGAGCAAGCTGATTCTCATCCTAAACTATTAGGAACTATCAGGTGTGAAGTTTCTTGTCGCTATTTGAATATGGACTAAAAAAAAAGATTATGGCCAGGTTCTAAATAACATTTCTGTCCATCCCTGCTCTGATTCAGTCTTTTGAATATTTCCCCTAGTTTCAAGAGCAGTTTGTCAGTTAAAGGGGACCAAATGCGAAGTCCGCTTGGGTTTATAAAACTAACTTCATGGTTCTTGGTATCTTGGACCAAATCTAGAGTGTAATTTGGTTGAGTTTCTAGTGACAGACTAGAAAGTACCGAGTTTGAATCCCTGTGCAGCATTGCATCTGACAGGGGTACTCTGGGAATAACACAGGAGTGGGAAACATGTGCCCCCTCAGATGTTATTGGGCTGCAGCTTGGGATTCCTCATAATTTGCAGGCTAGGGCTGTTGAAAGTTGCAGTTCAACAACATCTGGAGGGCCACTTGATTCCCACATGCAGTCAATTTATGAACATAAAATGAAGTAGCCTTTCCAACCCATATGTATCATAATGAAAGAAAACGGGATAGGAATGTGAGAGGCATGAATGTGTCGTGTTATTAGTTGGGATTTTTTTTTTCTAAAATGTGGATTTACAGAAGAGCAAGGATATAGGGGAAATAGGTTTATGTTAATCTTGCAAATGAGCTAACAGCTGGTGGCTTAAATTTAAATGTTTTTCTGCAGCTGAGTTGGCAACTGTTCTGAGATACGTTGATGATCCAAGCAGTAGTTTTTTTAAAAACAAACAAACCCTAAAATGTACTTTTAAAAGACATTAGAACATACTGCTAGCACTGCAATTTCATTATACAGTTATAGGAATTATTAATATTGTAAACCACATTTTTTTATGTTTGCTTTCTTTAGGTGCGGGCTAGCGCCATAGCACAGGATGCGGATCAAAATTATGATTATGCCAGTAACAGTGTTGTTCTACATTTGGAGCCAGGAGACGAAATCTACATAAAATTAGATGGAGGAAAAGCACATGGTGGAAACAACAACAAATACAGCACATTTTCTGGATTTATAATTTATGCTGACTGATAAGAATCAAAAACTAAATCACGTTCTTCTAAGTGATGGATTCACATGGCAAAAATCGATGAATCAAGAATCCCAGAGGATACTGGCTGTGGACACCTCAATAATGGGGCCAAATGCTATCTGCCTCACATCAGTGCAACCCAGAGTATGTTTTAAAATATAGAGCAAGTTAAGCAGCTGTGTGATCCAGTCACCAAAGCAAAATACTCCCTGTTGTTAGTGTCCATGTGAAGTTCTATTTAAATAACAACTTTTATAGAGAGAGAGAAATCCTTAAAGCACTGAATAATTTCTTCAGCATATATAACTTTTGGTGTGCTATGATCTTGCTGCTTTTATCCATCCATCAGCTTTGGTACTTGTGACTTACCTGCTAACTATGATGCGTGTGGAGCCAATTCATAGTGTATGGTGAGGAATGGTTTTATAATAAAAAAAGATGTAACTAAGTCCTGTTTATTCCCTGACAAAGGCTATTTGATTAGCCTTTGCATTCTTTCACTCCCTAGGAACAGAAAGCAACTTGCTTTTCAAGCCTTAGCGCTATTTTTTCTGTATATAGGTGACATGCAGATGTTTAATATGTCTGCAGCACAATTGTGTCTAGTTTTTGGTTTTATTAAAACATCTGTATCCCACCCTATATCAAAAGACCTCAGTTACCTGCTATTGCTCTACTCCAATAATTCTTTACAAGATAAGAACTCTAGTGTACAGAATTTTTTCAGGCCCTATAAGGGCTGTCCCATTCATTTTAAACTGGGGGGTAGAGTTAATTTGTTTACATGATTTGTGCATGCTGATCTATTGCCTCCACCAAAGCAAATGTGCAACATGAATGAGAAAGGAAGTCACAGGCACACTAAAACTACATGCGATGTTGTGAATATGTATGCTTGTCACAAAGAAAAGCCAAAGAAAGAGAAAAAGCATGAAACATTTCAGTTCTGGGAAAATAATATTAATTGAAAAGCTCCCCAACACATCTTGGTGTTATGAATGCTAGTGGCATCCGGCATTTTCTCTCAAGAGTTTTGATTAAATGCAAATAGACACTTCTTGTAGTTTCCCTTTTGGGGTGACCATACAGTTCTCAAGCATTATATACATATTTTGCATTCACTATGTAAATATTCCCAGGTCCGTGAATAAGAACCATTGGCCTATATGGAAAGAAAAATGAGTACTCAGGAACACTATTTTGGGAGGCATTAACCCGTATTTATTGGCCAGTTTCTTAAGTATATTGTATGATGATGTGATGTAGGAATATTGTTCCATCATACCTAAATGTTGTCAAATGCAATTTACTTACTATGTCCCATAGAATTCAAAGATACTGGTCTACATTTGAACTTGACTGTATCTATACAGCACCATGCATGTTCCATTAGTTGGGATGCAGATACTTGAAAGCTTCTCCCTTGAGGTGATATGTAAAATATTTACAGAACGTGGAATCAAACTGACTAAGCTGATTAGCTGGACTTTATAACCTCACAAGATAACAAGATCAGGAAATCCCCACAAAGCATCTGTATCCACATAAATTTGCAGAATTCATAGTGACTCTTCAGTTTTACACCTTCAGGAAGTAGCTCCCGTTACACCTAGATAGAGGTATGCACTACTTAACCCTAATTGGTTCTCAACCTTTGGGTCCCCAGGTGTTTTGGTCTACAACTCCCAGAAATTCCAGCCACTTTACCAGCTGTTAGGATTTCTTGGAGTTGAAGGCCAAAACATCTGGGGATCCACAGGTTGAGAACCACTGCTCCAGATGCTTGAATGCAGCTGTAACCTTGAGGAAGCAAAGGTTGGTCAGCCCAAGTGTAAATAAATAGACAAATAGATAAACGTGTACATACAGATGCATTGGGTGTACATACCAAATGAACTTGCATTCATATGTGCACTTATTCAGAAACAAGTCCTATTCAGTTGTTCATTAGGACACATTCCCAGATAACAGGATTGCAGCCTTAGCCATGCTAGAATAAATATCTAAACCAGTGGTTCTCAACCTGTGGGTCCCCAGATGTTTTGGTCTTCAATTCCCAGAAATCCTAACAGCTGGTAAACTGGCTGAGATTTCTGGGAGTTCTAGGCCAAAACACCTGGAGACCCACAGGTTGAGAACCACTGATCTAAACTGTAGAACATGCTCTTCCAGCCTGGGTTTAGGATGGGGTATTTTAAGAAATTGTTCCACTGAATTATCAGAGAAAATGTCATACAAGCAACATACAAGATACACAACTAGATGCTTATGGTTTGTGTTCCAAAATCCATTTGTGTAATAAGGTTTGCCAAAAAAGCACAAAGGCTGGCATTACACTAACAAGGACTTAGAATTTTTCTTGTGACCAACAAATCACCATTTCTTTTTCAGGACTGATTTGTTTATAGGGAGAATTGTTTACTGATTTTTCTATAATAATCATGAAAAATGAGCAAGGCAGATATGAAAAGCACCCAATGATATAATGTTTTGAGAGTTTGATTAGGACTTAGCAGGATCTGGGTTGGAATCCCTGCCCAGTCATGGAATGGAGTCACACTCACTCTCAGCCTCAGAGCAGCCTCCCCTCCCCCCGCCCCAAACAAATCTTGCCAAGGAAACAAAGTCCAAGTCAACTTGAAGAACCACCACAATGAAGATACTAACATGCAAGATATGTCAAAAGCACAAAAGTTGTATATTGGAATATTCAGATCTGTCTGTTCTTATTCATTACACCATTTACTACTGGCATTAAATGTTTAAAATGTCCATTACATAAACATGTTTTACTAAAATGTCCGGGTGCAATGAAGGCTATAAAATAACAGATCTCATACCAGTTTAGTTCGTATTTTTAAAATACAAATGTTAACATTTGATATATTTAAAAGTTTTCTTATCTGCAGCCACTGCATGGAAGATTACCAAAAATTAAATTATTAGGCTGCAATCTTATACTCACTCTACTGGCTGTAAGTCTCACTGAACTCAGTAAGACTTGCTTCTAGTATGTGAATGTAAAGGATTGCACTGTAAGGGTGCTAAACGCATAATTTGTCTCAACATTAAAGGAGGCCTTCAAAGACTGCCAGATTGTGGAATAACATTATGTAATATATGTATTATATTAAAGGTTAAAAATATGCAAAGGAGACATTCTCAAATGTGGAAAACAAATGTTTATTTTATGCCTATTTTTCTTATCAAAAGGCTCAGCAAATATTTCTGTTATATCTTCATTTAAAAATCCCTTGATAATGCTTTTACAAATAACATGTTCTGACAATTATTTAAAAAATATCATACAATTTATAACATGGATTGTAGGTCTTAAATTGTACCATAAAATTCATCTGTGAAGTATTTTTTCTGATATTGTATGCTTCCTAGTTGCATCCTAAATACATTCAAGTCAAAGTAAAATCAAATTGAAATTACCTAGAAGTATAGTATATCTAAGATCAACAGGTAAGGGATCTACTGCCATGAATACAAAGTTCATATGTAGCACAATAACATACCTTTCTACTATGAAGTAAATCCTCCATCAATGGGATTTACTCCTAGGTAAATGTGTACGAGATTGCAGCCTGAACATTTATTTATATGGAAAGAAGCTGAATAGACTGCATACCTAATTTCAGCTTAACAGAATAGCCCAGGAGGAAAAAAAAAAGCCGAAAATAAGGTTTAACATGTTTCCAGTCTTTTTCATTTCAAGATATGTGTCAGTCATGTATTAAAAGATAGAAAATCCTCTCTCTAAACAGAATATGTTGAATCATTATCTTCTCCCTTTCTTTTGAAGGTGTTCAGGTTCACAAAGGAGGCTCCATCAGTCCATCTATGTATCATAAAATTGTCTCTCATTGCAAGTCAACATATCTGAAAAGATTGCTTTTTATTAGAGGATACCACCTACATTCTTCTGAGAATGGTACCAATGTATGAGTCTGATGCAATGACTTATTTCCATTCAACATGAGTATACATTAAACTGATCTTTTTGAGAAACATACACTTAACTTCATGGTGGTCAAACTCTTTAACTGTCAAAGGTTCAAGGTTTCAAAGACTAGAAGCCACCTTTGTGTGTGCGTGTGTGAATTACATGAGGACAGTCCAAAGCAGGCAACGTGTCCTCAGTTTCCGCTACTCTCTTCTCTTGCACTCATGTCTTTCTCCACTTCTCTCTCTGCCACCCCACATAGCAGGCAGGCGCCTCTCTACTTGCAAAGGCGATTATGAAATGACTGTATATACCCATTTATAAGTCTAGAAATTTTAGTCAAAAATTGACCCCAAAAACCCGATCAATGTAACAACTATACCATAACTCTTATCAAATAAATAACCTTTTGTCTCTCTGAATAGAATGGCAAAGGCAACACCTTAGTCCTTTCCAACAGAATATGAAAAAAGCCCCTTCTGCTATCCCAACCATGATGCCTCCTCTGGACGTTTTGGATGCCTGGGCAGGAAAATTGAGGCGGTCAGAGGCACCTGGTTTCTTAAAATGGCTCTGACACTTTCACCTCTGTGGGAAGACAATACTTATCCATAGGTCATATCAAAATCCTTAATTTTGGTGCCCAAACCTGCCCTCGGCTTATACATGGCTTGAAGGTTCCATGTCAAACAAAACTATCTACTGGATTTGATGGAGAGGATATTTTGTATACACTCACTTATGGTAAAACAGCATGTGATACCCCCTGAAAGGAGTCCTGTCAGTGTGTTTTTGGTCAAGAATATGGGATGATGGATGCTGGAGGACTGTTAGAGTGGACCTCCCCACTCCAGGGCCATGTATTACATATCTCCCTACCATGGAAGTGAAACTCATTCTTTGTAACAGCCAAAGTCATAGCAGGGTTTGCTTTATGTACCCAAAGCAGATCATAGAATCAGAGAAGAGAGTTGGAAGAGACCATATGGGACATCTAGTCCAACCCTCTGCCATGCAGGAAAAGCACAATCAAAGTACCCCTGATAGTTGGCGATCCAGCCACTGTTTAAAACCTCTAAAGAATTACCTAGCACCAAACTCTGAGGCAGAGAGTTCCACTGCTGAACAGGTCTTACAGTTAGAAAGTTCTTCCTATTATTCAGGTGGAATCTCCTTTCCTGTAATTTGAACCCATTGCTTTTCCTTATGACATCCTTTCACATATTTGTAGGTGACTATCAGGTCTCCTCTCTTCTGTAGGCTAAATACATTCAACTCTTTAAGATTTTCCTCATAGGGCATGGTCTACAGACGTTTGATCTTTTTAGTTGCCCTCATCTGGACACCTTTCAGCTTGTCAATATCTCTTCTAAACATTGGTGCCCAGAACTGGACTTAGTATTCAGGTGAGGTCTAACCAAAGCAGAATAGAGAGGCACCATGACTTCCCTTGATCTAGACACTATACTTCTTTTGATTCAGCCCAAAATCCCATTGGCCTTTTTAGCTCCTGCATCACACTGTTGGCTCATGTTTAACTTGTTGTCCACGAGGACTCCAAGATCTTTTTCACACGTACTGCTCTCAAGCCAGGCGTCCCCCATTTTGTATCTTTGCATTTCGTTTTTCTTGCCAAAGTGGAGTATCTTGCATTTGTCACTGTTGAACTTCATTTTGTTAGTTTTGGCCCATCTCTCTAATCTGTCAAGATTGTTTTGAATCCTGCTCCTGTCCTCTGGAGTATTGGCTATCTCTCCCATTTTGGTGTCGTTTGCAAACTTGATGATCCTGCCTTCTAACCCTTCATCTAAGTCATTAATAAAGATTTTGAATAGGACCGGGCCCAGGATGGAAACCTGCGGCACTCCGCTCGTCACTTCTTTCCAGGATGAAGAGGAAGCATTGGTGAGCACCTTCTGGGTTCATCCATTTAGCCAATTACAGATCCACTAGCCCACATTGGACTAGTTTCCTTGCTAGAAGGTCGTGGGGGACCTACAAGGGAAGGAATCTACCTACCTTTCCCCTAAACCCAACACAGTAGTGTATGAATAAACAGGGAACCAGAGGTTCAGTAGCAACCTTTCCCCCCACCCCCTTCTTTTTCTTTTTGAGACTTAAGTTTTCTCAACTGCATTCATTTTACTGATGTGGACATTTTCTATTCTATTCCTTACAACGGTATTTCCAAATATGCTTGATTGAAAAACTTCACTGAAAACATTTCAAGCTCTGGCATTTTTACTTCATTTTATGTGGATGCTATTTAGACATATGTATACCTAAACATTAAAGTACAGTTGGATCATTATTATTTTTTTAAAAAAATTAACCTGTCTGAGAGGCAATTTCAGACTAAAATTCTAGGCACACCTACTTGGGATAAACCCCATGGAATGGACCTATTTTCTGAGTAAATATCAATACAGCTCCAATATCAGGTAGAAATCCCAAGTTGCAATACTATGTGTATTTATACGAAAATAGATTGTGAATATCTGGGTAAACATGCATGGCACTGAGCTACAAGCTTTTTCAAGTAGCAACTTCAAAAGGCTAATATTTTTATGTGTCTGTAGCATTCAGATCACTATTTGAGAAGAGCCACTTCAGCAGAGAGTTGTCACAACCCTAGAAGCCAACTGTGTTAACTCAGCAGCCCCATGGAGAGAAAGGACATGCTGATGAACATGCACCAGGGTTTCCCTTTTCTAATTCATAGGAATTCCAGAAAAATAGCTTACGCATTCTAAGGGTTCCACCAAAAACAAATGTTCCTGTATATGTGTAGACACCTTATCCACAACATATGAACCTTAATGAATTCTAGCCAGAATCAGAGTTCCAAACATGATACTTTAGCCCCAGCCCAATACCCCACCTCACCCTTAACTGGGACAGTACAATCATAATTTCTACACAATTCATGGTCATTGCACACTATGATGCCATTCTCAAGGGTACTGGATCTACCCTACTTGTCCAACAAAGATATCAGTAGGTACAATAATTCTTTAAGAGTGGACCACTCTGGAACAGGATAAGATACTGTAGCCTTTTGTAAGGATTAATTAATTACCAAAGTTGTAGGAGTCTTCCAAATATTTCAAGCCTTCTCAGCTCCTATTTCATTGAAGCAACCCTGATCACAGTAATATCTACATTTTCCTACTTAAAAGTCAGCCATTGCTTGGGATTGGCTACCAAAATCTGATTGATTTGGTTTTGGGATATGCCTCTAACAAGCATTTTGGGAACAATGTTTTCAAGTATATGGGAATAGCCATGACCCCCGTATTTCTTTAGTCTGTTCTTTGTGTGTATGTCATGTGCAATTAAAAGTTTGTCTTCATAGCCTTCATCAATCAGCATCCGAATCCTGTAAAACACAAACAATACATATCCATCAGTGTATTCTTGATAACCTGGTATTAATGTATGAATATTTACTGCATATAGACTTAAAGTTGTATTTTAAGGAAATATCCTGTATCTGTGTGTTTTAAAAAAGTGGGGTACAGGTCTATAAAAAGGAACAAAAACCAACAATGCATTGGTTACTGCTTGCCCAAATGTTAGCTTCTGGTTGAATTGTTGTGATATAATGGAATATTTATGCTTACTGAATGTGTTCATGGAGAATGATTGCAAATAACCCAAGTTATGTGACGGAAGTGAAACTTTAGTTTGGATGGAAAAGAAGTAGACAAAGGAAAAACTATACACAGTTCAGAGCTAAAAGTGGAATGGGAAGAAGTGATAATATAAAGAGAAAAATAAATAAATAAAATGAGCACATTAAAATTGTCCACATCACCTTCCTCCTAGAATAGGGGTAGATAACATGTGGCCCTCCCAATGATGTTGGATTGCAACTGCTGTCAGTCCTTATTAGTGTAGGAAATGTTGGGACTGAAGGGATTGGTACTCCAACAATACCTGAATGGTCACACATTTCTCAGTCCGGAAATAAAAGTATGACAATGACTGTAAATAATGCATGGGCTTTAGCAAAATAGTATTTCATTGCCTTAGAATTCTACATAAACCACTGAATTAATACAGATGTGATGAAAAGATATTCATATAAAATATATACTCATATATAAGTTGACATGTATAGGTCAAGGGCAGGTTTTAGAAGCAAAATTATAGATTTTGATATGACTCAGTGGATCAGTCAAGGGTCATTCTGTGGCGAGGGAAAAGCATCAATGTCATCCCTGGCTACTGTCATTTCCCTACCCAGACATGTAAAAAGATCAGAAGAGAGAAAGATTAGTGAGGGTCAAGTTCTCCTGGGAGAGACTAAGCTCTTGCCTTTTGCCACTTTACTTAGAGAAGGGGGTGGTTGCTTTTTTGGTAGAAGTTAAGGTACAATATCTTTAGTGACTTGTGGATAGGTCGACACAGGTTTTGGGGGTGTCTTTTAGTCTAAAATTTCTAGACTTATACACTCACCCTATATAAAAATAATTTTATTTCTTACCCGCCTCTCCTCTCCTTGTGGTTCGAGGCGGATTACAGCATAGCTAAACACACATAATCACTATATAAAATAATATAATGTAATACAATATACTACTAATAATAATATTAGTATATTATAATTATATATTTTATATTAAATGTAATATTACTAATAATATGACTGTATAATGTTATAGTACAATGTAATATATAATATTAATATTGTGCTATGGTAATAATATAATACATTGTATTTACCTTTTACTTGTAAGTCGCTCTGAGTCTCCTTCAGGGTGAGAAAGGCGGCATATAAATGCCATAAATAAATAAATAAATAAATAAATAAATAAATAAATAAAATACACATATTAAATGTATTCCTATATATACATAAGTATGTATGGTATTGTTTGATGCAATTCTCTGTATGTGCTCCCTGTCTTTATTTTGCTCAGCGAGTCCTATTAGCAAAAACATTGTGATACCCTGAATGTTCTTTTGTTAACTAATTTGAGAAAGCTGGAAAAAAACAAAACATTATTAAAATAATCATAATTTATTAAAAATACTGGAGGCAGGATCCACATGGAGCCATTCTGCCGAGGGAACTGCTTCTTTCAGATGGATCAGGCCCTGCACACTCTCAAGATTTGTTCTAGGAGACTGGACAAACCCTTAATGACAGTTTTTGGGTGGGGACAGGGTGGAAGATGGGAGAAGTTAAAGAATGACCTGTCATTATAATAGCTGCTGCTGCAATGAAGATCTGCATAGTTAAAGCAATGGTATTCTCCATAGTCACCTACGGATGTGACAGCTGGATGATAGGGAAGGCTGAGAGAAGGAAGATTGATGCTTTTGAACTGTGGTGTTGGAGGAAAGTTCTGAGAGTTCCTTGGACCGCCAGAAGATCCAACCAGTCCATACTTCAGGAAATAAAGCCTGACTGCTCATTGGAGGGAAGGATAGTAGAGGCAAAGATGAAGTACTGTGGCCACATCATGAGAAGAAAGGGAAGCTTAGAGAAGACAATTATGCTGGGGAAAATGGAAGGAAAAAGGAAGAGGGGCCGACCAAGGGCAAGATGGATGGATGGCATCCTTGAAATGACTGGCTTGACTCTGAAGGAGCTGGGGGAGGTGACGGCCGACAGGGGGCTCTGGCATGGGCTGGTCCACGAGGTCACGAAGAGTCAGAAACAACTGAACAAATGAACAACAAGCTGCTGCCTACAAACTCAAATTTAGGCCAAGAAAAGCCCAAAGAACCCAGTGGATAAAATTCTGCAGCTGAATATCCCCTTTTCCAGTGGTTTATGCAATGTTTCAGTATTATTATTTTAAAATTATATGGATTCATTCTAATAAAAATATTACAATGAGAGTGTGTGAATTTGCTTATTTTGCCCTCGTCTCCAAATTTGAAGAAACTTAATAAGGAACTTTAAACAAATATTTGATGAACTTTACATCTGGTGTTAAGATAGAACTATCAATGATACTGAGCTTCACATGATGGCAACTTTCACTAATTAGTATTTAAAATATTAATAGTAGGCCACTAACTTAACCCACTTTGCATGTATTTGATTAAAATAAAGAACCCACTTAGTCCTAATAACATACCTTCAAGGAGGGAAAAATCCCAGTTCTCTCGGTATAATTTTTGTAAAATTGTTCCATAACAGAATTAAACCCTCAAATTCATTCTCTCTCTTGAAATTAGCCAGTCAAAATTATCTTTGTGGATAACTATCCTATCTCAGGAGATATAGTTAAAAATCCAAATGTAGTTTAGATATTTACAAGTCTTTCATTCAGCGGCAGTGGAGCTAAACATGAATTAAATCTAAAACATACCTTCCCCCTACAATGTTATTTATACAAATAGACATAGAGGTCAGTTTGATTTGTATGAGTATGATGAATACAAGTCAAACATGAGCAGACTATAAATTAACAGTAGTCTGCCAGTTATCCTGGTATGCTCAGCAACAATAAACTGAACACACAAAAAATAACTTAATGGCATTTCTAGCATAAATACACACACTGCTGAGGAAAAGGCAATCTTGTATCCCTGAAAAACCTACTGCTACTTTTGTACAATGCAAGTTTGAGGAAGGAATTATGATGGAATCGTTGTGGCTAGGAAAAAAGAACACTATATTATGAAATGAACAAAACTACTGCTACAATCAATAGCACAACCAGTACTGATAAGATTCTTCGTGCCTGCCTAACTTCCAATCATACATGTCCAAGGTGTACTTCCATTCATTACAAAATTAATTCCAGTTTAAGCCAGTTCTGGGAATGATTTCCTGATGTATTATTTCAAATCACTGTGGAACAGGTTGACAGGAAGAGAGGTTGGTGCAGTTTGAGTTGTTACTTCCACCTCTTTTAAAATTTCCTTTCCAATGAGCACAGCAGTGGAATTTAGCAAGATGTCATTATCCTAGGAAAGACCAATCTGATCAAACCCCCAACTGGAAAATATCCTTATCCACAAAAAAGTGGGTTGATCAACCAATAGGGATTTTCTGCCAATAAAGTGCTAGACTTTATTATATATATATATATATATATATACACACACACACACACACACACACACACACACACACACACCATCCTTCTCAACCCTAAAGGGGACTCAGAGCGGCCTTACAATTTGTCAGCAATTTGATACTATCAACAGACAATAGAAGATAGACATGTACATTAAAACAAAATTAAAAACAATAAAACATTAAACACGATTTTAAAATCACGTAATCCAAGGACATAGTCAAAGGTCGTTTTGGTCGTTATTGCAGTTCAGTCTACTTTGCACAGCACTATTGTTGAATTAGTTATTTGGTTGAAATGCTTTTAAAATATATACACTTTACAGATTATAATTTTGTGAATCAGATATGTGTAGTATACAGGAAAGGTAAAGGCTTTGTACAATGAATTAAATGTAATATTGGTTAGTAAAATGAGGACAGAGCTTCAGGATTTAAAATATTCATTCTCTCCCCTTGTACACTAGTTCCCTCTTGTTTTGCACAGCAGCCTTAAATAAGATTAAGGAATCTCTTTACATAAGTTTTAACTAAAAATAATGATAAATAGATCTCCCATTACTTGCATGTTTAAAAGCTGGTTTGCAAACCATAGTCACAACAAAATGTTATCCATGCCCACTCTTATCAATGACCTTTGCGGCTAAAGAGAAATACTTTAAAGTAAACTACAGTACAACCCACAGAAGACCTACAGAGTGGAATGCCATACTAATACAAGTCACTGTCATATTCATGCTATGCTTACTTCCCAGTAACTGTTTTTACTATCTGTAAATATTATTACACCTTGACAATACCTTAAAATCCTTTCATTGTCACTTGGCATGTCAATATCAGGACACATCTGGTATGAAATGAATTCTGTTCCAAAAAGATCATACTCTAAATAGCATCCAAGCCGAGCAAACTCCAACAGCTTCTTTTCATCAAAAATAGTCCTGTACAAAAAAGAAGATATACTTTAAATTTGGTTTTACCTCAGTTTGCCCCAGGCTTTTATCTTACTTTTCAAATTTATCAAATACTGCAAAAGTCACATTAAAGCATTGGTTCTCAACCTGTGGGTCCCCAGATGTTTTGGCCTTCAACTCCCAGAAATCCTAACAGCTGGTAAACTGGCTGGGATTTCTGGGAACTGTAGGCCAAAACACCTGGGGATCCACAGGTTGAAAACCAGTGCATTAAAGTAATGTCAGAGATTCTGACCCATGTTTACAAATATTGCTATTTTCTGCACATCTAGTTTATCAATAAATTAACATGAAAGATTGTCATCACGGTGTGATTTCCTTTTTTGTAGAAGTCCAACTCTTCAAAAACTTTACATGATAAAGTCAATAAGCAGGGAACTTTTAAACACCCAATATCATCCTGAATTTCTATTTCCAATTCTGATTATGTGCTTAGGCAGAATATTAACACTTCCAGCACTACTGGGATTCTGAGCTCTATGAGAAAATTTTACTTTTGCGGGGTGATTTTTACATTAAACAAACACACAGATAAACATCAACTAGTTTAACTATTACACATTTTTGAGATTGAAATATATTTAAGTTATATTTAAGTTGAACATTTATCTTCGAACTCATAAAAACAGAGGGTTTAAAGAGTATGATTTGCTTAAGGTCACCCACTAGACTTCCATGGCTCAACAAACTTTAAAACAGAGGCAGGTTCTTCAGAAAAATCAACATGAGAGCCCCCTCCAACCCACATATGTTCTGATGCTGAGAGGGAGAATGGCCCTGGCTTGGAATGTAAGACTATAGAGGAAGGCCGCTAAAAATGTCAATTTCTGATCATCTCTGAGAGGTTTTTTTTTAATGTATTTTCTCATAGGATTGCCTTATTTACTTGGCATTATGGTGTACATTTCTTTTTGAAACAGCACTAAACTGAAACATCAGCAGCACTAACAAAATGTCAACATTGAAATCATTTTTCTAACTGTTCTAGTGAATCTCTTCTATATTCATCAGTGGGAAGGCAGGCAGCACTGCTTTTACACTGATTTGGCTTCATATTACCAAGCATTCACATACACCTGGCTGCCTGATAATGTCACTGAAATCCTTATTATAGTGTAATGCAATAAATAAATAAATAAAAAGAAAGGGGAAGGGGGCTACAGCTATATGAAATTATTCACATTATGAAAATCTCTCCACACCACTGGGAAATGCTTTATTGAATTCAGGGCCATTTTAACTCAAGAATTCTCATCACATCATTTAGGGTATTTTTTTTAACTTAATGAAATAATAATATAAACTTGCAATGATTGCATCATGGTCTGTTACTATGGAAATGACTGATGTCACAAAAACAATATTATGACTTAACAGCAGGATTAAGTAGGAGGAACAGATGGAATGAATGAGAGAAAATCCTTGTTCCAACACAACAGTAAGAGTCTCATTATTGCAAGCTATAATTAATAGCCTAGTCCCTTTTGAAAGAGTCTTCACAGCTGACACAATATTAGAAATTAACACACAGTTTTTCAAAATGCTATGCAAGAGGAGCAGTTCTTGGTTATGGATTTGAGGAAGATTATAGCCACCAAAACATTTTATTATTGTGAATGGATGCTGGAGGACTGTGGCAGTGTTTTTAAATTACAAGTCATTAGGAACATATTGGAGGTCTTCTACAAATGCATACGTAAATACATAGGGGGATGTGTAGAAAACAAGCATGTTCTAAAACAACCAGCCTGGTTGTTCTAGGCACAAACAAATCATTTGCAAACCGATAATTTGCAGGGAAGCATATGTAAAGTGAAAGAAGTATGCAACTTTTTTATTTGCTTTTCTTTGCATATTACAATTGACTACAAATAGAAGGCAGCCTTCTGATAGCAGATGGACCCTCTTTTTAAAATCATGTAAAGTATACATGTAGATATGCATTGACCTCTGAAGTGCTCCACTTTAGAGATCTAGCTGGCTACAATCTCCTTCAAGAGACTCCATTCCATTCTCTGTCCCAACATTTGTTCTGCGTGTTCACACTCTCCATTCCAAATATTCAGTCAGCGTGCAATGTGAGCACTAAGCACATTTAAACATATACAACTACCCAAATAAGCTGTTTTAAAGCATGCTGGAGCTGCTCCAATGCAGCCTCAGTGTGCTCTCAAGTCAGCAACATGGCTGACCAGTCCAAGAGCGCATTGGGGCTGTTGTGTTACTGCCAGCAAGCAGCTCCCTGCTGGAGGCTTGCTGGCAATGTTGCATTTCTGGTCATATGGCTAAGTGGCATGGCGTGACATCGCCAAAAATGCAATACTGACAGGAAGCAATGGTAAGTTTGCTAGAGGGCAGAACAATGCATGAAAACCTGTCTTCAACTTCAATATGTGGGATTTACTTATACATGAATATATACAGTAACGTGAGGAGCTTGGTTGTGTATTTGCATGTGTGTATAATCTAACTGTGTTGAAGCAGAAATGGTATAGAGAAAATATCTGCAGTTAAACTATAGTTTAACATTCCTGCAGTACATGGACACATGATGAATGAAAGAGTATAGATTATGATCCACCAGCTACTTCTGCTATTTTAGTGTTGCTGCTTTTCTATAAACTTCACTGCACCCCGCCCATTCAATTATGATTATTTAACTACAAAGAGCTTCCAGGCTTTGGTACTGCTAGTCCACTTGATCATCTGCCAGCTACTCATCAACCACACAAGGTCATATAAGCTTGACTTGGCAATACCTACTATGCTGTCATAGGAGAGATTGAACCTGGAACCTTTTACATGTAAAGCTAATTATTTTCTACTGACCTATAACACTATGAAGGAACACAAGAATAACTTAGCTAATATACAAACACACATATAAGTGTATGCCATAAATCCCTATATTTTCTTGAGATCACATTTTATGAAGGGAGCCACTATGGAATAGTGGTTGAGCAAATCTCTCTCCATTTCAGAAAAAGTCAATGTCTACCCCCCTTTGAACAAATTTTTGCCAAGAACACCTCATGACTGGGCCACCTTAAGTCGGAAATGACCTGAAGGCAAACAACAACAACAACAACAATAACAAGTTCTATAGAGCAATTTAAAATCTACTATAAATGAATGTGTATGGGTCTATTAGTCCTACCAATAGGTTGGGAAATATTTTAGCGATCAAGTATGCAACTGCCCACTAGTCTCATCTAATGAATAGTTATCTTTGCCACAGACATGTGTATTAATTTAAGAAGTTCAAAGATAAGCCCAAATGAATGTAAAAAACCTGGTTTCAATTAGGGATCCAGAAGTACAAGGAATCACTGAACATAATTTACAGACTTCAGCAGCAATAAATGGCTCTGTTGTAAGTATGCTAGCTTGAACATTTTGAAAGATCTAGCAGTATAGAGACATAACAGAACTTTCAGTTGTAGCATAGAGTTGCCAACAACAATGCAATATTAAGCTCACTTACCTATCAAGATGAGACATTACAGTTTTTGAGACATCACCCCCAGCTTCCTGAAAAACGCGCATGATCTGGAAAGGTGAATCACTATGCCTGCCAGGATGGATGATAACAGGACAGCCAAGCTGGGATTGGGCATGTGCTGTTGCCTGAACAACTTTATTTTCACTCTCCGTCAGAGGCCAAGAACAGCCAATTTCTCCTATTACACCACACTTGATGTCGGTTCCATCCGCTCCATTGAGAACCTCATTAATGATAACATCTGTCAGCTAGGAAAAAGGAAATGTTTTGGTGAAACACATTTTTGCATTGCATACTAACATTGTTAGCCACTTTAAGTCCCCTTTACGAGAGGAGTGCATGATATAAATAAATATAATAACAATAAAACAGTATCAGTTTAAGTACTCAATAGAAGAGTCCCTCTCTGAAATTCCCAGATTTTGTTCCTATAAAAATGTATTTTAGAGATCCACATACATTTGGCAAACATTTCTGAAATGTTACAGGAGTCTATTTGTGACATATGATCACTGAGAGAGGGAAGTAGAAGCACAAAATGAAAAAGTGAGAAAAACCCAGGATATTTCAAAAAAGTGTTTGAACACAGAGCTGGGAATATGCAGGTAAAATCAAAAGAAAAAGAACCTGGAACTCTCAGTATTGCCAGATACTTTTTCTGCTTGTGCTTAAGCCCTAATTTTAAAAAACAACAAGGGACAAAAATGAGGTTTTGCCTTTCTATTCTCCCAGTAGTTTAAACAAGCACTCTAAAACAGCAGAAACGCCATACTATTCCAGATATATGGACTATTTTAAAGTGTGTTATGCATCAAGGAAAACAGATAGGATGAATTATGACTCGATGTTAAAATGCAAAATACCTTTTGGGCAATCCTAGAATAATACACGGCTGAACTCTGTGAACTGAAGGTATTTCCATGTTGTTTTGTTTCTTGAAACTAAGATGAATAAATCACTGTACTTTGTGTATTTTCAAATCACACACCTGAACCATCTGGATGAAATTTTTCCCCTAGAATTGGCTAAAAGTTAATTTAGGAGTATAACGAAATTAAAAGATATCTAGGGCAGGGGGGAACAACGAATCCCACCGCTGCCACCAGTATAACGAAATTAAAAGATATCTAGGGCAGGGGGGGAACAACGAATCCCACCGCTGTGACCACTGTAATACAATTTAGAGGCTGACCCTATGTTAAAGATATCAATGACCGATGTTGCTTGGTAGATATAACTGCTACCACCTCAGCTTCTACTGGCCTGAGGAACCAAAGGTGTGAATGTGCTGTAGGCAAGGTGTGCTTGAGCTCTTGGTACACCTATTGCTTCTTCACTGGATGACTGGACTTTAAAATGGTTTGGTAGACTGAGTTAGTTCTGTGGAGATTGATATAAGGTCTCTCTTAATGGCCGTCTGGGCAGGGGGTCAAACAAACCCACCACTGCCCCACCAATTATAATAACTAGGCAGATGGCAATACGATCAATCCCACCATCTGACCCCAATTATAAAGGCAGGCTTTACGGCCAAACAATATGACTGGACAGGGGGCAAACAGATCCCACCAACTGTCCCCTGTCCTTCCTTTAATAAAGAATTCACACCACTTTGGCCCCTAGATAAAACTTGAGGGGATGTCTCTTCCATCCCTTCTTAAAAAAAAAAAAAAAAAACAAAATTAAAAATAAAAAAAAAAAAACCTGATGATCTGGGAACATTTTCCTGTTCTAAGCCCCAAGCAAGACTCATTTTTGAACCTGAAACAACCGCGTACTACTATTTAAGGAATGTTAAAAAGAAACGGGGAGAAGAGGGGGGGAGGGGAGGGGGGGCGGGGG